TTAGTCTAGGACTGACCTGTTTGGTGTGCGCAACAGGAAATATTTCACTTTCGGAGAACAAAAAAAATAGTTTTATTTGTGTTATGCTTATTAATTTGTGCAGTTATTCAGTGTCTGGTAAGTTAATGTTCAAGAAAAAAATATTAATTTTTATTAAAATGTTCTATTATTGTATGTTAACGATGACTCATTTATTTCAGCCCTTGGCATTCAGCATGTCTCTATCGAAATATGAAAATTGAAGCTTTTGCTTTTTGCGGCCACATACACTTCCACCTTGTTGATTCAGCCCGTGTGAGCCTCGGAGTCTGACAGGCTTGAGTTAAAGGGCTGGAAGGGGCCTTGGAAATGATCTGGTCAATCCCAACATCCAGTGCAAGAATCCTTTCATCGGTATCAAGCCGCTCACTCACTGCCAAGCAACCGCTGGGAGGCTGCTCCGCGGGCCTCCCTCCAAGCACTCCTGTTGGACTACTGCTGCCCTGGCGGATAACGGAGCAGTTTCTACTCCTCTCAGCTCTGTACTATCAGTTGGTATTCGATTCAGTCAAGCAACTTTTATTGTCTGCTCAATGCCAGGCAAGACCGAGAGGGGCCAGAGGCAAAGATAAATATGGGATGATGACCGGTGAAGGGCATGAGTAACAAGGAGAACAAAGGATCTTCCTGAGAGAGGGGAAGGGAAAGGCCTCTGGGCGGGGGATGGCGAGCTGAGCCCTAGAGAATGGAGTCACTGTGCAAAGGGCCCTGCAGACAGGAGGCCCCGCTGACAGACGGCTCTGGCGTGGGAATGGACTTGGAGTGTCCCGGCAGCAGAAGGGGGGGACGGGGCGGGGTGGGGGAGCTGGAGAGCAGTAAGGAAACAGGAGAAACCGGGAAGAGGTTGGAGAGAGAAGCAAACTCAGGCACACGTGCCTGGCAGGAGCCTGGGACTGACCTCAACAGTACACAGGCACATCTGACCACCCTCCCCTCAGTCCTACTTGCCAGTGTTTCTAACCAGTGTCTCTCCAGTCCTCACACTGGAAAACTGCACTCGGATGATTTCTGTGTTACTGTATTCTACTTCATTTTTCAAATGAAGCTTTCAGATATTCCGTTGATTTCATGGTATCGATGGGTCACAACTTACTGTTTGTGAAACACTCTTTTGGACCACCGAGCAATGTATATGTATCTGTGGTTGTATTGTGTACATGTATGTGTATGTGTGTACATGTATGTGCATATATGTATATTATGTAGATATGTGTGTTGTATTGTGTACATGTATGTGTACATGTGTGGGGGTATTGTGTAGATACGTGTGTGGTTATATTATGTACGTATGTGGGTATCATGTAGATATGTGTTTATGTGTGGTTGTATTGTGTACGTGTATGTGTATGTGTATCTATGTGTGGGTATCATGTAGATATGTATGTGTGGCTAGGATTTTGATTGGGACTACACTGACTCTATGGATCAATTAGGGGGGAATAGACACCTACACCAAGTCTTCTAATGCATGAACAAAGTATACCTCCCATTTACGTAAGTCTCCTTTAATTTCTCTCAGTAGTGTTTTATGGTTTTCTGTGTAAAGTTTTCATACCTTTCATTAGATTTATTCTTAGACAGTTTATATTTTTGATGCTATTTTAAATAATATTTTTAAATTTCATTTCCTGCCCTGGCCAGTGTTGCTAGCTGGTTAGAACATCTGCACACAAAAGAATCTCAGGTTCTATTCCGGTCAAGGGCACATACCTGGGTTGCAGGTTTGATCCCCAGCCCTGGTCGGGCGCATGCAGGAGGCAACCAATTGATATGTCTCTTTCACATAGATGTTTCTCCTCTTCTCTCTCTCTCTTTTTTTTAATATATTTTATTGACTTTTTACAGAGAGGAGGGGAGAGAGATAGAGAGTTAGAAACATCGATCAGCTGCCTCCTGCACACCTCCTACTGGGGATGTGCCTGCAACCAAGGTACATGCCCTTGACCAGAATCAAACCTGGGACCTTTCAGTCCACAGGCCGACACTCTACCCACTGAGCCAAACCAGCTACAGCTCTCCTCTTCTCTTCTCTCTCTCTTTTTCCCCTCCTCTCCCTTATACCCCACCCCCATCCCCCATTACTCTCTCCCTTCCACTGTCTCAAAAAACGATGGAAAAAATATCCCCAGGTGAGTATTAACAACAAAAAATTCATTTTCCTATACATGAATGTATATTTACAATACATCTATTTGACAAAAGACTCCTACCCAGCTATGTAATGAACTACAATATAAGTCAAAACCAACAGTGACATCATCAATAAAAATGGGCAAAAAACTTGGACGACAGTTCACAAAAGATGTAAGAATGGCCAATAGGCACATAAAAAAGGTGATTAAGCCCTAGCCGGTTTGGCTCAGTGGATAGAGCATCGGCCTATGGACTGAAAGGTCCCAGGTTCGATTCGGGTCAAGAGCACATGCCTAGGTTGCGGGCTCAATCCCCAGTAGGTGGCGTGCAGGAGGCAGCCGACCAATGGTTCTCTCTCATCATTGCTGTTCTACCTCTCTCTCCCTCTTCCTCTCTGAAATCAATAAAAATATATTTATTTTAAAAAAGGTGCTTGACCCTGGAGAGGGTCAATGGGGAGGGGGGGACATCTGTAATACTTTCAACAATAAACATAAATTAGTCACCAGGGAAATGCAATGTAAAACCATAGTGAGATGCTATTTCACACCCACTGACCATATGGAGTGTTAACAAGGATGTGGAGTTTTCATCCATTGCTGGTGGGAAGTGTAAACTGATAAACCACTTTGGGAATTAATCTGGCAATTAAATATACAACCAGCCTATGACTATGCAATGCTACACCTAGACATCTACCCAAGAGAAATGAAGGACCTGTAAGAATGTTCACGGCAGCCCATCCACAATGGCCCAAAAGTGGACACAACTCAAGTGACCCTCATCCGGTGAA